ACGGCCAACTGACCTAACTTAGACCACGCTTCCTGCTGCATCAGGGCAATGGGTCGTGGACCTGATGTAACCATCCACCTTTGTCTATGCATTCCTGTGCAGACACACGGATGTGTGTGTGTATGTGTGTGCACATGCCTATGTACTTTTTAAAGAAAGAATACTTCTACTTAAAAAAAAATGGGAATTAGGCAATTGGTGTAGAAAATTATTCTTCTCTCTAATACCTTTGTTTGGACTTAAACCAGAATAACTTTGATGGGAATTGTTGAGAAGAATTTATTATTTTGAATTCTACCCCTTTCCTTACAGTTGACAGTATATCTGCCAGCTTTAACTTTCATAAAGGTTAAAGTTAATCCGCACAGAGCCCTTCCTATCTTGCTTCTTGTCTAGAAGCTCAGGTATAATGAGAGGCTGAACAGGAAAATCCTGATTGATTGTTCTTAGAGGTATGTATGTGTGTATGTGTAGTCCCATAAATATGTTAAATTCCTCTCTTCAGGTTCTGAATATGTTATGTCATACTAACATATAACAAAATATATATTATTCCCTCCTGCCTCCCTCTTCCTGCTTTGCCTTCTTTTTATTATTAAAAAAGGAATTATGAAAAATATAGCCCGAGCCACATGTAGCTCATTTCTTTAAACATTTCTTTCATTTTCTTCTCTGTATGGTGATATTTCTCTAAATTAAACTAGTAAGTGTGTGACTGTGATGAATATCATCTTTTAGAATTGGTTCATTTTAAAATATAGAGACATGTACTAATCATGTAGTAGATTTTTATTTTGAAAACCTCTATAGCTTTCAGTTTTTTACATTGTAAGGTCTTCTAATGTTTCTTACCTCTTCCAAGCTGAAATCTAGATTTGATCATCAGTGGTTCTTGAACTTCTCTTACACATATCTCATATGCTTATCTCTGTGAAAACAATCCTGTACTGACTTGTACTGTTTTCCTCCACTTTGTTTTTTCTGTCTGATCCTCGCCATTTTGAGCTGTTGAAGACGGGAGGTGGTGAAATAAAATTAGAAAGAGGCCTTTTGCTTGGAGCAGCAATTCAAAACATCCCCATGCCCAGTTATGTGATGCAAAGTATACAACCCTTTTCTTTCCACACCCATCTTTCCCATTGCTCTGTGCCCTAATATGGTTTATGAATCTTGATGGAAAGGGCAGTATTTACATTATTAAGACTGATGCTCACCCTAGCCAGTTTGCTTAGTGGATAGAGCATTGGCCTACAGATTGAAGGGTCCTGGGTTCATTTCCGGTTAAGGGCACATACCTAGGTTGAAGGCTCTATCCCTGGCCCTGGTTGGTGCATGTGTGGGAGGCAACCAATCAATGTGTCTCTCTTACATCAGTGTTTCTTTCTCTCTGCCTTTCCGCTTCCCTTCTACTCTCTCTAAAAAACAAAAACAAAAACAAAAACAAAAAAACACAATGGAAAAATGTTCTTGGGTGAGGATTAACAACAACAACAAAAAGACTGATGTTCTTCAGAGCTAAGCCACGGAGTATAATGTGCTTGTTATATGCATATCATAAATCTTAGTTTCTCTCATAATCATAACTAGAATTTACTAATATAGAAAGTAACACCTTAGCCATTTCAAACCATGAAATTTTAGATCAGGAAAAGGCTGGCTCTTTCTTTCCTTACTGTTAAGCCTGGGATTCTCAGGTCTGTTTAATCAGTTGCCTTTCATCCATCTGTTTCTCAGATTTTTTTGGAGTCAATAGTTATCTCCGCAACCCCCTTCATTTGCTTTGTTTCCAATGTATTTATTACAAACTCACCCCCCAAACTCTGCCAGCTGATTAAATCAGTGCTTCATGTTTATCTCTGTCAGTTTCATCTTCTTGGAGATACTGCTCCCAGGGCCCTCTGATCTGCTCCCACCTGCTGTGGTTGTCTGATGGCCTGCCATAGCCTAGGACGCTCCTTTACTATCACCCTGGGGTTTCCTTTTCTTCTTCTTATGGTAGATACCCTTTCTGATTCTAGTATTTTCCCCTTTCTTGATTTATACTTTAGTTTTGATGGAGCTCATGCTCCAGTATCTTCCTGAGAAAGGGTGCATAAAGTGAAATATTTTGAGACCTTGCCTGTCTTAAAATGTTTTTACTTAACCCTAAATTTATTTAGTAGTTATATGGTTCTAAGAATTCTTATCTGGAATTCAATTGCCTTCAGCACTTTGAAGGCATTGATCCATTATCTGGCTTCTGTGGTTGATTTTTATGAAACATGAAGACATTTTCTGCTTCAAATCCTTTTTATATGGTTTATCCATACCCCCCCCCCCCAAAACCTAATTGAGCCACACCAGCCTGGCTCTTTTCTCATCTGAGAATATTATTAGTTTTCTTTTTCCTGTGCACGGTCTGTTTCCTTTGAACATTTTTGGGGAATTCCTAACGTAAGCAACATATTTAAGTCTCGACCTTGTTGGATTCCCTAATAAATAGATTTCTGTGTTGGCTTGACTGCCTACGTTCTAGGGGCTGATAGCTGGAAATAGGGAATGAGATTTCAATAGTCATTGTCTTTGTCCTTGGGTTCGCTTAGTTCCACTGTTTCCTGATTGGGAACCCTGCTTTCCATTATGCTTGCCGTGCCCCAGCCTGGAGAACCTCTGCAGAAGCTAAATGCTGGGTCTCTGTCAGGTTTGTGGCAGACACCCAGTTGTTTTCTAAACAGCTGCCAGTCAATACTCTTAAACACACACACACACACACACACACACACACACACACACACACACAACACTCCCAATTCCCACTGGTATCTGTGCCAACATTTCCCTGAACCTTTTGAAGATCCTGTAGCATAAACAGAGCTGGCTCTTTCTTTCCTTACTGTTAAGCCTGGGCTTCTCAGGTCTGTTTAATCAGTTGCCTTTCATCCATCTGCTTCTCAGATTTTACTTGCTGCCTCTTCTCTCACTTTTCCGAGGTCATTTTGTCTGTCCTCCGACTCCAGTGAGTACTCAACTGCACCCTAAGGCTGACTGATCGGAGCTGTCCACTTTATATTAGAATGCTTCTAGTGACCGTAGTTACCTCAGGTGCATTTGATACTTTTCTTCTTGTCCCCTTCCTGGACTAGTTTTCCTTGTTACTAGCATTATAAAAAAGCAGAGTTTATTTTCAGTATTTATAGAACTTAGTATTCTTGTGCTGCTTGGTTTTAATTTCAAAAGGCCACGAATTAAGAACCATTGCCTTTAGGTACTGGTTTCCCTTCTTTTCTTTGGTGAAATTATTTTCTTCCGCCATTTCTTCTTAGGTTGTGATTTTCTACTTAAAAAATACTCATGGCAGGATTCACAAGGAAGTCTTCTCTTTCAGGAGAGGCATGGGTGTTCTAGTGCAGGATTTTCTCCAGGGCAGTCACTAAGACAGTTGCCAAGTCCTGAAGTAGACTGTTGGTAAGGAAGACTTGGTGTGTGTATTTTTCTTACTCTTTCAGAATTTATGAGCTTTTGTATTTAGAGTGGTTCTTATTCTTCAGTCATTGGCCTCATTGACTATTCTCACCCCATATTCTTCAAGGGATCTATGTTCTTTATGAAATCGATGTGAGAGAGAAACATCAATCAGTTGCCTCCTGCACACACACTGACCGGGGATTGAGCCCTCAATCTGGGCATGTGCCCTGACTGGGAATCGAACCAGTGACCTTTCGGTGCATGGGATGACACTTAACCAACTGAGCCACACCAGCCAGGGCCAGTTATTGTACTTACAATTCCAGATTTCTATTGGTTCTTTTTTAATAATTTCTATCTTTTTATTGATATTCTCAATTTGGTTAAATATTGTTCTCATACTTTTAGGTGTGTTTTTTTTAATTCTCTGAACATATTTATAATAGCCAACTTAAAGTATTTCATCTGTCCAACCTCTGGGCTTTCTCAGGGACAGGTTTTATTACTGCTTTTTTCTTGTGTGGCCAGAGTTTATGTTTCTTTCTTTTTTTAAAATATATTTTTATTGATTTCAGAGAGAAAGGGAGAGGGAAAGATAGAAACATCAATAATGAGAGAGAATCATTGATTGACTGCCTCCTGCACTCCCCCTACTGGGGATTGAGCTCACAATCCTGGCATGTGCCATTGACTGGAATCGAACCTGGGACCCTTCAGTCTGCAAGCCGACACTCTATCCACTGAGCCAAAACAGCTAGGACTCGTGTTTCTTTATGTGCCTTGTAATTTTTGTTGTTGAAAGTAGACATTTTATAATGTGTCAACTCTGGAAATCAGACTTCTACCCCTGCTGTACCTGGGGTTTGGTGTTGTTGCCGTTTGTATGTTTAGTGGCTCTCCTGAGTTAATTTTCTAAACTCTATATTCTTTGTTGTGTGAGGCCACTTAAGTCTCTGTTCAGTTAGCTTAGAGGTCTCCTAATGATTAGACAGAGATTTCTTAAAATGCCTTGAACCAATAAGGAGCAGGACTTGCTTAAAGGAATAATCTGTTTAGGAATCTGAAGTTTTAATGGTTGAGATGGTTATGTATTTTACCAGGATTTCCCAGTGCTTGCTTTCTCGTAGAGGTTTGGAGTAGGGTGGTGGACAAGATAGTTGGAAGAAGATGAGGAAATCAGCTAATTCAATTGCAGGACTGTCTTTAATGAGCCAGTGAGCATTTTCACAGTGGGGTAGGATATGTTGGATTTTCCAATCATATTGGACCATCAAACTATTCCTTGACACACACTTTGGGACATACTACTAGAGTTTTCATTGAAAGTACTTGAACTAAATTGTGGGGTGTTTTCAAACCTTTAGCAAGCCACAAACATAGCGCTGGAAAAATAAGACTAGAGAGAAGGAAATGTTAAAATGAGAAGTCAGCCAGCCATAATTTTGAGGGGGAAAAATAGTGAATTTGTAGGATTAGTTCATCAGCATGCTTCCTGAGTGTCTGTATACTTATGTGTGCATTACATCCCTTCACGCTTTTCCCTTTTCGTTTCACAGATTTTTTTAAAGCCTCATGGGACATAACCATTGCTGGATGCCTGGTAGAATTAAGAAAACTGACTGCATGAGAGGCACTCTACATGCGCGAGAATGTTACCTGAATCGAAGAACTAAATGAGTCACACTTTCCTTAATTATAAATGGTAAAAAAGAAAAAAAAATATATAAGCACTTATTGTAACATTATACTAATAATTGTCAATTATTTATTTTTATTTGTATGATTAATATTCACAATTTATTTCCTAATTAAGTATTTAAAAGTTCTAGTGCCAATTCTGGTGTTGAAAATAAGTTTTAAAATCTCTATAAATCTGATATGGAGGTACTTGATGGTATTTGGTTTTCTTTGTTAGAACAGTAGCACTTAGTTATAGAATGAATTGCCAGGTTATAAAATTAATTTTTGACAATAAAACAATATTTAAATATTTGTAAACATTTTATATAATTAAAGATGAGTTAGGCCTGGCCAGGTAGCTGCTCAGTTGGTTAGAATGTCATCCTGATACGCCAGGGTTGCAAGTTTGATCCCTGGTCAGGCCACATGTAAGAATCAACAGCAAATGCACAGCCAACTAGAACAACAAATCAATATGTGTTTTGTTTTTTTCTGTCTCTCACTCCCTTTCTCCTTCTCTCTCTCAAATCAATTTTTTAAAAAAGTGAGTTGGGTTCCTGGAATTTGAATAGAGATATAAATTTTGTCCTAAATTACAATTTGTGTACCACTTTTATTCTCTGAAAGTCTTAATTATTATAACCTGTTATAATCAATGCAAGAAATGCAAACCTGTCTCTCTGTTTTGAATTGGTGAGTGTTTTCTTCCTTTGATGCCTCGCGTAGAACTGAACTAAATGAGGTCAATCCAAAACAGTTCCAAACGTGGCCTGGTTTTAGCTGAGCTTTTCTGGTCCAGTTTGAAAATTCCATTGACAAGCTTTCCCTTCAAAGTTTTCTTAGAAGTTACAGCCATTTTTGAACATCTCCTAAGTGCATACCCAATCCTAAATTGGTGAAGAGCTGAATGGGTCTGATCTCTTCAAATATTTGGGCCTGTTGATGTCAACTGATGGGCATTAATGGACCTGTCAGTAAGAACCCAGATTAGTAATGATTTCAAGGTAAGGGGTGCTAATTAGAACTGGCACAGGATCAAAAACCCACCAGCTATGGAGAGTTCAGTACGTATAGCCTAGGTCAGTGATGGCGAACCTATGACACGCGTGTCAGAGGTGACACGTGAACTCGTTTTTTTGGTTGATTTTTCTTTGTTAAATGGCATTTAAATATATAAAATAAATATCAAAAATATGTCTTTGTTTTACTATGGTTGCAAATATCAAAAAATTTCTATATGTGACTTGGCACCAGAGTTAAGTTAGGGTTTTTCAAAATGCTGACACGCCGAGCTCAAAAGGTTTGCCATCACTGGTCTAGGTCTTCAACTGTGTTCTACACTTTAGAGGTAAAATGCTTATTGTAAGATATTTTAGCACATCCTTATACTCGGGTTTTTTGTTTGTTTTTTTAAAACAACGTGACATTAATACTTGAGACTGTGGGTTTCTATTACAGTACTCCTTTTCCTTTGCTTGACTCACTGTTTTTATTTTAAAAACCTGACCTCATAGCAAAGAGGACAGTTTTGAGCCTGAGAAGATGTCATGGAAGACTGTACTTATACGTATCCTTTCTGTTTTCTTCTAGTTCTTGCTCTTCTCCACTTAAAGATGCCTTCGCACTTCTGATAAATGCAAACCGAAAACTCACAAGGCCACGGCAGAGATAAAATCATTACTGCTGGAAACCTGGAAGACTGCCCTTAGAAAAAGGAAAGTCCCCGATTGTTGTTGGAAATGCTAAGGAAGTTGCTGAGGAGGAGACTTTTTTCTTATCCCACTAAATACTACTTCTTGTTTCTCGTTTTTTCCCTCGTCGCCTTCTCTGTTTTAAGAATTTATCAAAAGCCCGAATTTCTGAGCATTGAACATTTGGATCTAGTTGGAGAGAATCCTAATAGTAATATTAACTGCACCAAAGTTTTACAGGGTGATGTGGCCGAAATCGAAAAGGTAAAGCTGGAGATTCTGACAGTGCAATTTGGAAGGCGCCCTCGATGGACAACCTATGACTACATAAACATGACTAGTGATTGCACTTCTTTCATCAAGAGACGCAAATACATTGTAGAACCTCTTAGCAGGGAAGAGGCAGAGTTTCCAATAGCATATTCCATAGTCGTTCATCACAAAATTGAAATGTTTGACAGGCTCCTGAGGGCCATCTACATGCCTCAGAATTTCTATTGCATTCACGTGGACAAGAAATCGGAGGATTCCTTCCTGGCCGCGGTGACTGGCATTGCATCCTGTTTCAGTAACGTCTTTGTGGCCAGTCAGCTGGAGACTGTGGTGTACGCATCGTGGAGTCGGGTCCAGGCCGACCTCAACTGTATGCGGGACCTCCACAAAAGAAACGCAGGCTGGAAGTACCTGATCAACCTCTGCGGCATGGATTTTCCTATTAAAACCAACCTGGAAATTGTCAGGAAGCTCAAGTCACTAGTGGGAGAAAACAACCTAGAGACGGAGAGAATGCCATCCCATAAAAAAGAAAGGTGGAAAAAGCACTATGAGGTGGTGGATGGAAAGCTGACAAATACGGGGACTGACAAAGTGCAACCTCCTCTTGAAACGCCTCTGTTTTCGGGCAGTGCCTATTTCGTGGTCAGCAGGAAGTACGTAGAGTACGTGCTAGAGAATGAAAAAATCCAGAAGTTTATGGAGTGGGCGAAAGACACATATAGCCCGGATGAGTATCTCTGGGCCACTATTCAGAGGATCCCTGAAGTCCCTGGCTCACTGTCCTTAAGTCATAAGTACGACATGTCCGATATGCAAGCAATTGCTAGGTTTGTCAAATGGCAGTACTTTGAAGGTGACGTTTACAAGGGCGCACCCTATCCACCCTGCAACGGGGTGCACGTGCGCTCCGTGTGTGTTTTTGGAGCAGGTGACTTGAACTGGATACTGCGCAAGCACCACCTGTTTGCCAATAAGTTTGACATGGACATTGACCTCTTTGCCATCCAGTGTTTGGATGAGCATCTGAGGCTTAAAGCCCTGGAGACGTTAAAACACTGACATTTACTGTAGGCAATTTTAGAAATAATAAGGCGGCTACATGAGATGTATCCCATCTGACTCTTCGGCTCTATTAATTAACATCAGAAACACTGTAGGGGTTTAGAGCAAGGACTCTAAATCTTCTTGTCAGAGAATTCACATGGTCTCTGCAGAGTACAGCCAGTTAGAAAGGTTATGGCATTAAACCTTGACTTAGAGTTAATGTGAGGCCACGGCAAGTTGCAAGGCATTGTGGGGAGAGGTGACCCAGGTGGCCCGGAAGAGGCCCAATGCAACAACCAGCCTGTTAAAAGAGCTCAGGGACTTCACAAAATGATAAGATTTAACCTGTGCCAAAATTGCTTTGAGAGCTTTAAATATGCCAGTCTTCCCAGTTTGAATAAATTTATAGCAGCAACCAATCATGAGGGTATAATTTATTTTGTAGGTTCTATTTGTTGAATTAGAAAATTGACATTACTGTAAATGATTCTTGTGAATATAATGTACTGTCTGCTGCAACATTGTGCTGTGTATTGTATCTATGTCATCTCAGGGAACTTGGAAAAAACAGGCTTGAATGAATGTAAATGTTTCTGAGTAATTTTTGCTTCTACCAATGTACGTATGTTTTTAAAAACAAAAAAACTGGCAATTTCTGGTTTAGTTGATTCTATGAATCATCTTAGATTATTAGAAAAGATATCTTAGGTTATTAAAAGAGTTAAGATATCTTTGTTTATGATAGTTTCTACAGAGTAACACTCAATTTTGAAAATATTTGTCTCTCTACTGCTCTCCGCCATCTCTAGACCCTGCTATCAAGCTATATAAAAACTTGCTTTTCATTACCCCATAGTACTGCCTCAATTCTAGTATATGATTCGATTGACAGTAATTAGTGTAGAGAACTAAGACAGAAAGGTATGGAGGGGGAGGAGCAGGAGTCATATTTTGCCCATTTCTGAGGCCCACGGTGAGGGTTAAAAACCAGCAGTTGGCACTATCCCCAGAAATGAAGGCTGTTGCTCTTTGTCTCTATCCAACCTCCCAGAGTTTTGCATCCTAGTGTCCCCTATGTCTCCATTTGAAAGAAACTGGTTTCATTGTCCTTGCTACTTCATGTCACCTGCCCATTGTTCGCTTCTTAGCCCTTGGGTTGTATGTTTCTCTCTCTCAGAACCTATGAGGAAGGAAGAGGTGTTCTGTTGGTCTACTACACGGTGAACTTGAAGGCCTGGGAATCTGAAAGGTTTGAGGCGGATTATTTCAGTATCGGTATTACTCAGAGCATATGATTTTTACTCTACTTTTTCACCAAAAAGACAGATAATTTGAGGTTGCTATTTGCTGTCTCATCTCAAAGTAAATGAAGATATTTAAAAACAACAACAAACTTGCTCTTTTGCTAAGCTGATACTGTTCAGCCAAAGATCTAACTGGAAATGTGACTTTAAACAAAAATCAAACCATGTACTTTATTTTTAAAGCATAGCCAATTCAAATAATATATGAGAAATTCATAATGTCAGTTTTCAGGCCTTCAACTGAGAAAACATTTTTATTCCTCAAAGTTAGAAAACATTTTCATTTTATGGAGAAGTTTGTTATACTGACTGTCCTAAACAAAAGTTTCATGTTTTTTAAACCTTTATCATTTATAAGTGTGCAAGTCAGTGGATGGCTGTGTTTTGCATGATTTGATATTTGGAAAACTCAAGCGATAACATTGCTTAGGGTGTTATATGCTTGGGGTTTCATCCCTGTTCCCTTCTAACCCAGTTTGCTCTTTTAATGCATGTCAAATGTTTCTGCCATTCTCTTTCAGCAGAAAGATTTTACCTATAAGTAGGGCATTCTTTAAAACCAATGATGTTCAGTGGTGCATACTTTGTGTCTGTGTCTTGTATTTCTACTTCAGTCATGGTGTCTTGTTTTATGGATTTTTTAAATTTTATTTCAAAAATTTGCAAATTAATAAGAAATTTAAAAGCAATAGTACAGGGCACCAAAGGGGTTTGATTCCCAGTCAGGGCAAATACTTAGGTTATGGGTTTGATGAGGGCATGCACATCTCACATCGATGTTTCTCTTTCCCTAACTCTCTCTAAAATCAATAAGCATACCTTCAGGTGAGAATTTTTTTAAAAAGCAATAAGCAGTAGTACAGGGAATACCATATAACCCTCTCCTGGAGTTATAGAATGTTAATATCATGTCCCCTTTGCTTTTAATTGTATAGATTTTTTGAAATTTTATTAAAACTATAAATTTTTAAAAGTTTTTTAAAAATATATTTTATTGGTTTTTCACAGAGAGGAAGGGAGAGGGAATAGAGAGTTAGAAACATCGATGAGAGAGAAACATCGATCAGCTGCCTCCTGCACACTCCCTACTGGGTATGTGCCCGCAACCAAGGTACGTGCCCTTGACCGGAATCGAACCTGGGACCCCTGAGTCCGTAGGCCAACGCTCTATCCACTGAGCCAAACCGGTTAGGGCAAAGTTTTTTAAATTAACAATCATCCAAAGTTATCATTCATCTCAACACTTATTGTAGTGTGATTGTATCTGATTTACATTTAAAGTGGCAGGTTTTAAAAGATTTTTCTTCACCCCAGATATAAAAATAGGATTTTAGAGTTCATTTCCCAAACCCCACACTAAAACTATAGACCCACCATCTTTTATGTAGCCATGGAACCTCATCTTTCTAGAATGGTACTTGTTGAAATGTGTCTGAACATTACCCTATTGCTAAAGACTGTTAAAGGGATTATGTAGAATTTGTTTATCAGGACTCATATCTTTCAGCTTAACCTAAAGCAAATGAAATTTATACTCCTATGACAAGCTAAAATTTAAAGAGTCAAAAAGTTTGTTTGAAACAGCCTACTCACCAAAGAGTCACAGGTTTGATTCACCGTTAAGGGGCATGTACCTGCGTTGAAGGCTTGATCCCCAGCCCTAGTTAGAGCGTGTGTAGGAGGCAACCAATCTGTGTATCTCTGTCACATCGATGTCTCTCTCTCTCTCTCTCTCTCTCTCTCTCTCTCTCTCTCTCTCCCTCCCTCCCATCCTCCCTCCCTCCCTCCCCCTCCCCTTCCCCTCCCTCCACTTTCTCTAAAAATCAATAGAAAAAAATCCTACACACACACACACACACACACACACAAAGGAAGCCCATACTACATTCAGGAGGGGCAAAACACAGGTACTTTGGGAAAGATTAAGAAGTTATTTAAATTGTTTCATGTCAGTTATTAAACACTAATTTCTTTTTACTGTCATTTAAGAGCTTCTGTAGGAATTTATTATAACTCATTCACAAATGAATCCCTGATCATAAATAAACTGAATTTTTTTGATAGAAGGATTATTCTAGTTAATAAAGTATTGCAAGAAGTTTCAATATTACTTATTAAGGACAAGTTGACAGAAATATTTCTTTCTTTTATAGACAATTACCAGACAATGGTAAACAGCCACTCAGCCTTGTGAATGTGAAAGTTACTGGTCTCTAAATGTGTATTTGTGTCATTCGTCAAGTATAATTCACTTAAATGAAATAACATAAATGGGTTTTCTTTTGTAGTTATTTGGGGACGTGAAAGCCATGTTTTTAGTTTATTTCATTTGTAAGATTAATTGAACTGGATTTTTCCGGTTGCTTAGAAAAATACAAATAATTTCTCATTATGTTAAATATAAAATAAATGCAACACTGTTTCATGGTAAACATGGTTACTGTTAAGTTTACTCTTTTTAATGTGGGCATGACTGGATGCATTTGGAACTTGTCATATATCACCATTAAAATCAGCCATTCCAAAAGCAATGCCTCCTCTCCACAAATTATTCTTTTTTTCACTAGCTACCAGCACTCAAATGTTAACTTTAGTAGTTGATGTGGTGCTGTGTGTGAGTAGTGATTAAAAAATACAAGATTAATTCCCCAGGCAGAAATGTCTGACAAGAGCAGGAAATACAGCAGAGGTTATGCAAAAAGACTTAGACAAAGGGCATTAGAAGGATGCAGTTTAATAGCCAGTATTGAGTTCTAGGGCATTACTAGCTTTCCTTTGTCTGCTGAGGGAGGAGAGCAGTTTTCCAGTCAGGTTTTCTACTCAACGGCCACAAATACTCACAGGATCTGCTACTTGCTGTGGTTTACATGTGGAGGGCACAGCAGCGGGAAAAGGGAAGCCCCTCCCCACCAGATACCGAGCGCTGTCTGCACAGTCCTCTCACCTCACCTGCTTGAAAACCCTGATTTAGCCCCCTTTCAGATGAAACAGCCTAGAAAGTAGCAAAATTGACCTCAGATCTTTCTCCAAAGCTTGAGAGGTTTACATATCTTTTGTAAGCCTGCTTGTCAAATAATTTTTTTAACATGTGCTATCTTAAAAGTTTTCAGAGCTTGTCATCAAAATATTGATTTAATTTTTTTTTTTGATGCACTAAGGCCCAAACTAGAATGAGTTATAACTATCAGACAAGACTGTTCTTATTACTGTAGGTGATAGGATTGTCTAAAAAGCTCAGGAATCTTGTTTTGGGATTAATATGAAATTAGCAAATACCTCCAGATATCCAAAAAATTATGTTTTCCCATATTTAAGTAAAAAAAAAGTTTTAAGATATAATGGGAATATGTTCCCTTTCATCATAGCAATAAGCTCTGTAAAATGTATTGGGGTCCAAGACAGGCTGTCTCAGATATCCCACAGTGGTATATTGATTACTTGGAATTAAATTTACTTGATAAGCAGCTGGGGCACCTTGATCCACCCCTGTCACCTTGAATGCTAGGAAGAAATCTCCCATGTGAAAGTTTTCCTGGCTGCACCTGGAAGCTCACCCTCCCCAACCCCCTTCCAAGGTGTTAACTCAGAGCTGAAAAGTTTGTATAATCAAATGACTATATATATACACACAAAGCAAGGTATTAACCCTATAATAGACTCCCTCTTAACACAGGGTATATTGCTTTTTGCTTCCTCACCGTGTACCAGTTTAATCTTGCCAGTGAAGAAAGAAGGCAAATTTGATTCAGCTAAGACTCAAATTTCTTGATTTGTATAAGACCTAAGAGCCATTACCTCTCGTAATTCCTTGGCACCTTACAGTCCCAAATCTGACTACTATTCTCACCTCAATTCCTGCTAATGCAGCCTGGGTATAGGCTCAGCTTTCTTTTTTATCCCTTTGCACCCCAGCTCACAATTTTTTTTTTGCATTTACATTTGCATTTACAGTTACCATGGACTAGCATACCTCAGGGATATTGTGAGTCTCCTTCAATATTTTCCAAAATCCTTAAAGCCAACTTAGATTCTGCAACCTTTACCCAAAGCTTCATGCTACTGCAATATATTATTGACCTTTTGCTCTGGAATCAAACTGAGCAGGAAACTCTTACAGATTCCCTCACTCTCTCTCTTTTCATCTTCACCAGAGGATATGTTTATTGATTTGAGACAGAGAGAAAGAGAAAGAGAGAGAAACATGGTTTGCCTCCTGTATGTACCCACAAGGGGATTGAACCAGCAACCTAGGTATGTGCCCTGACCAGGAATTGACCAGGAATTGAACTTGCAACCTTTCAGTGCACAGTATGATACTCTAACCAACTGAGCCACACTGGCCAGGGCTCCCTCTTCAAGGTACTAGATGAATGAGGCCATAAAACCTCCAGTTATATTCTCAAAGTGTTGATAAAATTGTTCTAAATTTCATCTGAATAGCTAGGAATACTTCCAAAGAGGGAATTAATGAAGTCTTGCAATACTACATTTGAAGCCATACTTCAAAAAATATTAAAAGTGTACTATTATTTAACATTTGAACTCTTAGACCAATAATAATGCAGAGAAAGGTGTTAATATATGTAAAATATTACAAAGAAACCATCAGAACATAGTGAGGAAGGAAAGAGTAAATTTAATCATAAGTACCTATTTGGAGAACATTTTGAAAAGATTATAGCCTTCTACTTTACATCAAAATCCAGATGGATTAGGAAAAAAAAAACACAAGAAAACTAGAAGAACATATCAGTGACTATCTCTGCATGTGATGGTATCTCCAAATAAAAGCAACAGGAGTGCTCATTAAGGAACAGATTATAGACTTAACTAAAAGTATCTACGTATCTTCTGAATATGAGAAAGCAAAAGGCAGCCAGAATTGAAAAATTTGCCAACAGAGTTTGAAAGAGGGAGAATAAGTAGCTTAATGTGGAAATTATTTATGCTAATATTTAAAAAATAGCTTTAAACAGATGGACATACCTCCCTGTGGGGCAGGGGTGTGGGGTGGGTCGGGGATGAGAAGAGATAAAACAAAGAACTTATGTACTATATACATAGCCCATGGACACGGGCATCGGGGTAGTGAAGACCTGGTGAGTAGAGGCTGGGATGAGGGGGGTAAAGGGGAGGAAATTGTGAGACATCTGTAATACTATCAACAATAAAAAATA